GACACGACGGCCACGCCCCGGAGATTGTCCCGTACGAGAGCCCGTTGGCGTGAAACATGTTCCAGTTACGTCCTAGTCACTCCTTAGCATGTTTCCATGTCCTCACGCTCTGCCTCTCGCTTTCTCTGCAGCAGCCGCTGAGGACGGAGAGGAGCTCAGGTGAGGGGGGCCGTGGGGGAGGGGGGTTGGGGGGGGTCCCAGGGCTGGCAGCTCTAGGTCTCCCCCCCCCCCCAGATATCCTGGCCCCTTAGGCACCGGGGGGGGGGCTCTGGCAGAGCTGGGGGGTGTCCCCGGGATCCCCCACCTCAGTGTCTGACGTGTTCTTCCCCCCCCCCCACAGGGCCCTTCCACGCGCCTCCCTCCCCCGCGTCCCGGCCGCGTTCGCCTCCTTCCCCACAGACCTGGAGGACTTTGTGCAGGTACCAGCCCCCCCTCCCCCACGCTGCGTCCCCCCCTGGCTGGCTCAGTCCGCAGCTTCCCCCAGGCCCCCGTTGGTCCCTGTGGGGTGGGGGTGGGGGGTCTCCTGCCCCCCAGCGCTGGTGCCAGGAGCTGCCCCTCGTGCGCTTTGCTGAAGCCTGGGGGGTGGATCCAGTGTCCCCTAGCCCCTCCCCCACCAATGGGGCAGAGGCTGGGGGTCCCTGGTGTCTGATCTCCCCACCCCCCACAGAAATCTGGCCAGGCTGTCCCGCTGGTGGTGGAGAGCTGCATCCGATTCATCACCCTGCACGGTAAGGCCTGGGTCCCCCCTCGCCTCGCCCCGTCCCGGACGCCTGGGTCCCATTCTCTCCCCTGTGCCTGGGGCTTGGACTGCTGCTGTCCTGGACGCCTGGGTCCCATTCTCCCGTCCCTGGGGCTTGGAGTGCTGCCGTCCCGGCCGCCTGGGTCCCCCTCGCCCCATCCCGGACACCTGGGTCCCATTCTCCCCCGTCCCGGACAGCTGGGTCCTGGGCTGCCCGTCCCACGCCGGGTTCTCCCCACAGGTCTCCAGCACGAGGGGATCTTCCGGGTGCCGGGATCCCAGATGCGAGTGACTGAAATCCGGGAGGCCTTCGAGAGAGGTGAGGGGGGGCCGGGCGGGGGGGGATGGTGCTGGGGGGAGACCGAGGGAGCTCCCCCCCCTCACCACTGCCCCCCTGCTCCCCCCACAGGCGAGGACCCGCTGGCGGGTGGCTCCTACCCCCGGGACCTGGACTCGGTCGCCGGGCTCCTGAAGTCGTTTTTTCGGGGGCTGCAGAAGCCCCTTTTTCCGCCGGACGTTTTCCC